GAGGATTAACAGTGACGGAGTGGACCCCACCCAGGGAGCACCCGGCAGTGCCCCCGGTAAGCCGAGGGACAGGCGTCCCTGGGTGCCAAGTTACTGGCCGCACTTCCGTCTCCAGAGGCCAGGGCCGATGAGAAGCTGAGTCCAACGTGGAACACTGCTCAGGGCAGAGTCTCCTGCTGGTCTACCTGGCCGAGGTCACTGTCCACACACTCCTGAGTACCAAGCCACTGTGGACCCCTGTGGCTGCTCTCTGACTTGTAAGAAGGGTCTGCCTCCTCGGGGGCTCTCTGCAGGGCCGGCCACCGCGGGTGCACGGGAGGTGCTCAGAGCTGGGAGTGATTGCTCACCTTCTTCAGGGAAAAAGATCTACCCTACCCCCTTTTAAACTGGTAGTGAAAATGAGAGTCCTGTCTCTGGCCCTTGATTCATGTTTTTTAAACCACGATTTAGTATGTACTAAACATTCTGTGGGTTTAAATACCCAAAGCCCAGCATCTCTCCACCTTCAGTGTGCTGAAGAATCTCTGTGCCCCCTGTCAGAGGACTGGCTGGTTTTCACTGTCTACATGACTCTGGCTGCGGTGTAGGAAGGGGCAGAGAGGCAGGAGCCTGCTCTTTCAAGATGAGCATTTTCTGTAAATGTGATAAAATCAGCCACAAGTCACAGGTGAGAAACGCTGCCCCATCTCACGTGTCTTTCTGAAACAGGAGAAACAGGCTCAGGGAGGTCAAGAACCTTCCCCAAGGTCACACAGCTAGCTCAGCCGGTTGTTGCCCCAGCCCTGAGACCTTCCTTAGAATTACTTTTTCTTCATCAAGATCAACAGCTGCTATGATCTGTGACACACTTTCTCCTTGCAGACTACAGCAGGGCACAGGGGACAGAAGCAGAGTAGCCATCATCTGCACTGCTCTACACGGAAGGTGCAGGTGTCACCAAGCCGGGCTCTGGTTATAGACAGGCATTCAGGTCCTTCAGATCTTTCATTAATACAAACCTTAATACAGTGAACATTCTTACCTATGAGAAGGCTTCCAGGACAGAGGTGCACGGAATATTTTTGTTCATTGTGTAGCCTATGGAGTACTTCTTTGAAGTTCAGAAGAAATAAATGACTTTTGCATGATTTACCAAATGCAAAAAGTTATTACTAAGGTAGTTTTTTTTTCCCCTAGAGAATGAATTTAATACTCACTGATGTTCAATTTGTGACTTAAAAATACCAGAAGACAGATCCAGAAATGCTCTGTGTATTCCCAGTTACGAGCGGTCTTTAGCCAGGCTGGCAGGTGGCACCCAGGATGACTGCAGGGTTGGGGCTCCGTGTGTACTTCTCGGAGTTGTGGCCGAACGTGCCCGACACAGAGCCTCACAGCGGGTGCCTTAGGATAGTTCTCTACACAGCAACTACTGACCGTGAACTGACACCTCAAAGACTGGAGAGAAACCAAAGGGGTGTTTGATCTTTCTTTTGGAGCATTAGACTGGTCGTGAGGTTCTCTTTTTACAGAACCGTTTTCACTTGTTTTTGGATGAACACTAACACTACAAAGTGAATTTTTGACCACTGCAGGTGGCCACTTTGACCCTAGGTGTGCACACTGCCGTGTTTCCCTTGGTTACAGATATGGCATGACTCCTTGAGGACGTCTCCTCATGGGCCACAGCCACTCACGTACTGGGACGGCCAGCGATGCCCTGAGTGCCCCAGTGTGTCCCTGTGCACACAGGAGTTGGTTTTGGAGAAAACAAAAGGGAAACTTCCTCCTCCCCCTTTCACACCCTCCTGGACACCCACACTCAGAACCAGGAGGGACAGTTCTTTGCACACGCTCAAGGGTCTCCAGTGGTGTGTTCTCCGCGCAGAGCAGCGAGGACATTGACAAAACCACGGGGAACCACCCTGTGTGGCCGAGGACACGTGCGTGAGGCTGAATTTGGTGAGTATAAACCAAATTCCCCAAAGAGCTGTGCGGAGCTCCTGCAGACGTATGAGACCTCTTGGCAAGTCACATTCCCTCCTAACAGGTGTGTAAAGGGACACGTGGCTTTGTCAATATTTGCAGGTAAGAGCTCTCTTCCTCTGCGTATCTGCCTTCAGGGAACTAGAAGTAGGGGGAGCTCTTCCGAGGACAGGAGGAAGAGTGGGTTGGGTCTGCTGGAGGTGCTGCAGGTGTCTGTGCACTGTTGGATCCAGCAGTGAGCCCTGAGTTAACAGCTGCTACCAGCCTGGTGACTCAGTTTACCAATCCGTGAATCCACCTACGAGTGTCCTACAGCGGCGGCTGTGATCTCATAGAACTTACTGACTTGTCTGGCGATGGTTCGGATGATAGATCTGTGCAGGATGTTCTTAAGAAATCATTAAGAAGTGACTTGAGGGCCCCGATGCCGGATGAGCGTGAATTTGTTACATTTACCTGGTTCTGTGACATCTCTCAGGATTGTTACCGGCTGCCTAAATAGTAATTAGACACAAAATATCCCACTCTGAATCCCTGCAGCTGAATTCTAAAACATCTTATCAGTGTCAGTCCAAACCACCTGTGATGTTTCCTAAGAGTTCTAAATTCTTCAACAAGCCACAGAGACGCCCGTTTAGAAAGAGCTCCCTGCGACCGGCATTCCTAAGAGGGGGTGAGACGTAAGAGAGCTCAGCATTTCATTTCTCTCTCAAGACGAGCGGAACTTACTGCGCCAATGATAAGAGAAATAACGCCAGCTGAAGACCTGCGAGCCAACCTTGCATCAGCAACAGAGCAATCGCCACCAAGGAGGGTTTTTACGGGACCACACCGAGCGCTCACTGTGCGATGAGCGCCGTCACTGGGGGCGACTGTGCTGCTGCCCAGGAGACGCACCTCTGGGGGTGATCGTCCCCACCCAGGGCACAAATATCACAACAGGCAGGCAGGGACATGGAGAAGATCATCGTAACTAGGTTTCATATGTTCAACAGTAGACACCTGAAGGGGTAAAGAGCATTCAGGTAGCACCTCTACAGTCAGGGACTCCAGGGGACCCACCGAGGTGAATGCAGATCAGAACGCAAAAGAAAAATGAGTGAAATCAGTCACAGCAGAGAAACTCTACCACCACCACCACCACAAAACCCAAAGCAAACAGAAACCCCACCAAGAGCGACTCAATAAAATCCGAGCCCTGCAGAACAGGTGCCCCGAGGCCCCACAAGCAGGGCAGGTGTGGAAAGGACATTTAAAGTCACAGTGTCTGAAAAATTTCCCCGTTTGATGTAAACGGTAAACCCCAAATTCCAAGACACTCAGTAAATGCCCACCACGATAAGCAGGAAGAAAAGCTTACCAGGCAGCCCACATTCAAATCGCTCAGAGCAGTCACCAGTCAGGAAAAGAAAGACGCAGCTCACGAGACACACTGGGTCAGGGACAGCAGGGACTTCTCGTTAGCAAGCAAGAAGACGCGAGCCGAGACCTCCACAGAGTTGGGGGAAGAATGCTGGACGCAGGGGTCTCTGCCCCGTGAAGTAGCTGTCCCAACAGAGGTGAATGGAGATGGTCCCAGACACAAGCTGAGAGGAGGGGTCTCAGCAAGTGCACAGGGAGAAGTGCCCAGAGAGTCCTTCAGGGAGAAGCAGAATTACAACCCAGGAGCACCAACCACACAGAAGGTGGAGATTAGGAACAGTACCCACAGGGCAAATCCATGGTTTAAACATTTTTTAAATATCTTTAAAGGCGATCAAAAGTTTCCACAAAAATAACAACGTCTCATGCATCTGTAACACATCCCGGAGTGAAATGTATGACATTAAACAGCAGAGATGGGGAATTACCGCATGGTGCTGCTCTCCACGGGAAATGGCGCGATGTCAAGTGGAGGCAGACTTGGTGAGTGAGCAGGACATGTGCAGATTTAACCCCAAAGCAACCACGGAAGTCACAGGGCAGCTGCAGCCCATGACCCAACAAAGGGACAAGCAACCCAGAGAGGACAAAGAAAAGACAAGACAGAAAGGTGGGCGAGGTGAGCCTGGTTGTGCGATGATCAACTTGGGGGTCAATAGAGGGCAGAGCCCAGCTGAAAGGCAGATGCTCAAACAGGACCCAAGAAATCAAGACGCAACTCCTAAGCTGTCTGCTTCCGATAAGCAGACTGTCGATACACAGAAACTCACAGGTCACAACAGAAACACCAGGCGCGGTGGTGCACACCTGCCATCCCAGGGACTTGGGAGGCCGAAGCAGGAGGATCGCAAGTTTGAGGCCAGTCTGGGCAACTTAACGAGATCCTGTCTCAAAGTACAAAATTAGAAAGGCCGGGGATGTGGCTCAGTGGGTTCAATCCCCGGTACTGGGGGTGGGGAGTAGAAGATATCTGCTAATACCAAAACCCAAAGAAACTGCTAATACCAATCAACCCAAAGAAGTGGCTACACTGATATCAACAAAGCAGTTTTCAGTGTCAAGAACATTGCCCTGAGAATGTGAGAAAGAAACAGGAAACCCACAAGAACAGGCAGAGGTTAGACAGTCCTCTGACCATAACAGATGCACCAGCCTGTCAGGGGACCAGCAAGACGATGCACTGGAACCCGCCGAGGGGCCCGGATGACCTTCATGGGACATGCCATCAAGGACAGCAGCAAGCCCATCTTCCCGGTGCACAGGGGCCTCTTACCATGACCACGTGTATTCCAGGTTATTCTCCACAAACTCACACAAAGGGCACAGCCTGTCCAGGGAGGTTCTGGCCTGACAGGGTTCAATCACCAGAGCCTCCCCGGGCATTCTGTGTGTGGCGCTGGCCACTCTGGAGAACAGAGGTTGGGTGCCAGCGTGATCACTCTGGGTGCCTGTCCCTACCCCTGGGGACTTGGGAAGGACCAGCCGCCACTCGGGGGTGGGGATTGAGGCGGGTAGGAAGTACCAACAAGAGGAGAGTGGACTCTTCTTACTTTCAATGTGACCTGGCCCTGGCGGCATTCAGTGAGCGAGACCAACAGGCACATGGCCCTTACCTTGTGCACGCAGGCCTTGGCGTTCAGGAAAAACAGCTCCACGGTGGTTTTCTCCCTTAGAAACGATATGCTCTCGATGTAAAACCTGAAAGACAGCACAGGGGGTTGTTTCTCCAGATTTATTCCCTTATCATCGCGGCACAACTGCGTGGCCTCATGGCGCGTGCCCCTGCGGCAAGGCAGAACTCGGAGGAACCAGGGGACCTGTGTGCTTCCCGTCCATCTGTACAACAGGTACCTGCAGATACAATCTCCCCGGCCATACTTCTGTGGGCTGGACGGCGAGACGAAGGGAGGCTCAACACGCACCCAGCTGCCACACACCCGCGTGTGTCGCGGATTCTCTGACACGTGCTCTGGGGAGCTTGGAACACCTCGGAGAGCTTCACGCAAAGCCGGGGTGGGGGTTGGGGTGCGGCGCTGAAGGCAGGAGGCTGAGCACACTCTCCACAGGGGACCCTCGAGGCTCAGAGGTGTCAGGCTGGGGTGGACCCAGGCCCCCACTGCTCAACCCATCGTCAGAGAGCTTCAGGACACCCGGAGACCCTCCCTCCTCTGGCTCCTCCTAGACTTGGGTTTTCCCTGGCTGGGAGCCCAGCTCTCTGCAGCTGCCAATCTCGCTCTTTTCTCATGCAGATCAGGGTACTGAGGGCCTCTCCAGGGCCCCCTTTCTAGGATCTTGCCTGTTCATTTGGTGTCACAGGCTCTGTCCCTCCTCAGCTGAGTCTGTAGGGACCCCTGGGCGTGAGCTGAGGCCACAGGTTTTCCACGTGGGGAAACAGGTGCCCCAGCCAGCGGGCAGCTTGGGGCCTGGAAGGGCGCTTGCTCCGGAGCTGGAGAAAGTGCAGATAATGCAAGGCTGGAGGGGCGTGAGGAATGGCTCTGGGCGCCTCTCAGCAGTAATGAAACGCAGCCACCCGTGGCGATCTTATCACCGAGACGGTAAAATCATTCGACAAACGCCACCCTGTGACGTTGAATCATTAGGAAAATTCCACAGGGAGGAGAATGAAGCCTCTGTCTTTATTTACGGGGTTCACCCCATGAGGTGAGTGGGTGGGGACCGACCGGGAAGCCCCGAGGCGAGTACCCCACCCCACCTCTGCGGTTCCAGGCGTGTGGCCTGGGGCACATGACTCATCTTCCAGGTCTGGTCTAGGGTGGGTGTCAGGATCCTACTGACCTCATAGGACTCTGGAAAGATCAGCTTTGATAACGTGTGTCAAATGCTCAACAATCTTAACAGCAGTCGCTCACAAAGCCTTTTCTCCCCGGCATCTAGAACTGGGTGTCATGGAGGAAGGGAGTCCCCTGGCTTGTAAAGTGAAGACAGTGACGCCTGCCTGGGGGCTCTCGGTCAACTCTAATGGATCAGGTAAAATGAAACGTGCCCCGCAAGACACCTGGGACAGGTAGGAACTGAGCTGGTTCTCACCACGGAGACCCTGTGATGTCGCTTGTGTCAGAAAGACCAGAGGAGGTGCTGGGATCAGCCTCTCTGAAGGCCAGGAGGACACAGCGTCTGCTGAACACAGACAGGTCCAGGCTGGGGGGATAATGCCAGGAGCGGCGTCTTTTCTGGACAACGTGCTGGACTTTCTTTCTTTCTTTTTAGACGATTTTAGTGGCCAATGGACTTTTCACTTTGTGCCTTTACGTGTGGTGCTGAGGACTGAACCCAGGGCCTCACACTTGCCAGACGGGGGCTCTACCCCTGAGCCACGACCCCAGTCCTACGTGCTGGACTGTCACAAGGTGGCTTCCACCAAGGCAGAGCTTGCTGTCACCAGGGTCTCCTCCTTCCAGTGCACGTTGCTCTACCTGGACCTCGGCTGCCTGGGCTCCTTCACGGAAGCCAACGGACCATCCCAGACTCACAGGATAAAGGCCGTCTGTTCCAGCCCTTTTTGGAAACACACTCTTTGCTTTCTTCACAGGCACTGGCGGGGGAGAGGGGATTTCTCCAGGATTCTGTTCCGTTGATGCCCAGGGTTAAATTTTCAGCTTTGGAACGAACCCAGAGGTGTTGGACTGGCGTAGGTTTTGGGGTTAAACTTCAAACAGTGTCACAAAGGATGCTTTCTGGGAAGAGCAGTTGCTCCGAGAAGCTCTGCTGCCGCCTTTCTGGCTCCTCCCGTGAGCATCTTCTCTCTTTCCCGATGGCTCACCTGACCGCCCATCAGTGGGACATGATGGTGACAGCATGCAGGCTGTCAGCCAGAGGACCCGTCACGGCGGTCAGAGAGCAAGCCCTGGAGCTGTTCTGGCGGGCTGTCCTTGGATTTAGGTGGCCAACACATTCACCTGGGTACCTATTGGAGGTCAAAGTCACTACTATGGAGCTGGGAAGAGTCATGTGGATCCCAGGCTCGGGCTGGGGCCAGCTGCTCTGCTCTCTGTTCCTCTTACTCTGGTCCACGCCCCAGAGGAACGAGCGGGGTCTCCAATGTGTGGAACCCAGAGGGGCACACGGTTGAGCAGCCGCGCTCGGTGGAGACGGACAGCGTACCCTTCTCACTCTACCAGTGGGACTATGATGAAATGCAGGGACCCAGCCGGGAACCTCTTTAAAACTTGAACAGTAAAATCCAGAATGGAAACTAAGTGTCTTTCCTAGGCTCTTTGTCTGAAGGAAGCAAAGGCTACAAAAGTATCTGTCTCAACACAGAAGAGGAAAATGGAATCCCAGCTCTCCCCACCAGGTAGGACTTCTCTGGTTCCCGGCTGAGCGGATTTCTTGGTCTTCTGGGTCTTTGCGCCCAGCAGAACTGCCCGTGCTCTGCCCTGGGGGCATTGCTAGGTCTGTGGGGCCTGAAAAAGTCCTCCTTGGGGTTCCTCAGCCTGCCGGTCATCTCAGGACCTCCTGCAGCCTCAGACCTGATCCCCACTCCAAGCAGGGAGACCTGCTGATCACTCATTCGGGCTCCACCCCAGAGCCATCCTGGGTCTCCAGATGCACACCAGGGGCTGAAGGCCAATTCAGGTGGGTCCACCCTCCCCAGCGTTTGGGAGTCCAGAGGTTTCCTGTCATCCCTGGGTGGACAGCAGTCTTGGAGAAGTCCTAATAGCTGCTCTACCTGCTACTCCGTGTCCCCTGCCGGCAAAGCCCTTCCCCCTGCCTGGGCTTCAGCGCCAAGGGCCACCTGCAGGTAGCCTGTAGGAAGCCCACCTCTCCTGCCCTCTGGCTCCTCTCTCCCTGGGAGGCTTTCTGAGTCCTGTAGAAGGGTGCAGGTCCAGGTGTGAGGGCCAGGAGAGGGAGTGTCCATACCAAAGGTGCCAAGGCCATGGGAATTCCAAGGCCCACCAGAGCACAGCAGGGCTGGGGATGGGCGTGGGGGGTCAGTCCTTCAGGGAGGGGACAGTTGGGCATGGAGAATAATGGGGATCCGGGCTGAGGGCCTCCCCCCAGGACAAAGGAGAATGGGTCCGACCCAAGCCTGGTAGCTCATGATGAATGCTCCATAGTTCACATGGGCTCCTCCAACAGCCCCGGTACAGAGGTACCACACCAGCTCGAATGTGTCCAGGGTGCCCAAAGCCACGTGGCTGAGAAGAGCTGGGCTTGCAGCCAAGAAGGGCACTGAGGCACGCTCAGTGGCCGGCTGGGGCTAGCACCGTGAAGGTGGCTTTGACTGTCAGGCTGCGGCACGTTCCTGACCTCGGTGGGTGGCATTGAGGGTGCTGCGGAATCCCTGCAGCCCGGCAGGGCTCTCCACCACGAAGGAGGGCCTGCTGCCACGGACACCCTGCCCGGAGGCCTCGCTGGAGAACCTGTCCTCTACCTTCTTCTGCCCCCAGTTACGAATCCTTAGGTCACCTGAGGCTTCCTGCCTCATTGCCCGAGACACACCCAGGCACACACATGTCCGTGGACCCCCAGGCTGTCTCCTAAAACTGGAAATGCCAGGAGTACCACAGTGCAGGACCCAGGCTCAGAGAGGGTGAGTGCCTTTCCACACTCGGTTTCTGCCTTCTGACCAAGGAGCACAGTGAGGAGAAACTGGAGTCAGGATCGGGGGCTCTGTGTCTCTCCAACTCCCCAGGAGTGGGACGCTCACAGGTGGGGGCTGCTCGCCAGCAGCCTGGACATTCTCACGGACATTCGGGGGCCTTCTCACTGCATGCCCAGATGGAGCCCCCAGATGGAATGCCGGCTGGTTCCCAGGGCCCCTCCAGCAGCCTCTGTCGGGCCCCTGCAGGAGGAATCCAGGATTTCTCTGGGCTTTTAAATCCTCCTGAAAAGGTGAACTCCCCTGTCTGAGTGTGCCTGTAAATTTCCTACTCCCTGAGAGCTCTAAATAACTCGTGACTACCCAGCCACAAACACGGTATCTCATTTTTCTTTTATTACTTTTCACGCTGAATTAAAAATATTTACTCAAGTAATTGTTTTATTGTAGCAGAAAAAAAATAAGCCGAAGAAGAAAAACGAAAGTGATTCTTGCTAACATCTCAAACTTCTTTCTACGTGTGCAGAGAGTTTGCAAAAGTGCCATCGAGCCGTGTAGCACTACCCGGTGGTCCACTTCCTTCACCTGGAATCTATCAGGAATTTTTTTTTTTGGGGGGGGGGCACTGGGATTGAACCCAGGGGTGACTTAACCACTGAGCTACACTCCCAGCCCTTTTTATTTTTTATTTTGAGACAGGGTCTTGCTCAGTTGCTGCTGCGAGGCCGGCCTTGAACTTGTGATCCTCCTGCCTCAGCCTCTTGAGCTGCTGAGACTACAGGTGTGTGTCGCGGTGCACACGCTCCTATCAGGAGCATTATTGCCTATGTCACTGAATTTCTCTTGTCACCCTAGTCTCTATCTTTTATAGATATATGGCTGTTTAAAAAAAAAATCTTTTTTTGACAAGGTGGTAGCAGTCTTGCCTCACCCACCACAGTGGAGAGTTCTCTGCTCTGAGCCACCGAGGACCAGTGGCAAGTCACTACCATCCTAGGACATAGCGAAGGTGACTTAGAAAGGGGAGGAGGAAATTTCTGGAGCAGGAAGACTGAATAGAAAACAGGCGAGAGGCATTCAGAAGAGTTAAAGATCCTGCGGGGACGGAGCTGGGTGGTACCAGCCCAGCGGCCCCTGGCTGCCCTGCTCCGGGGCAGCGGGAGGTTTCCGACGAGGTCAGGCCAAGTCCTTGCACTCCTATTTCAAGCCTGCTTGTCACTCACTATCAAGCTTTTAAACGCTCACATCTGGGCTGCATTACCCAAGAGGCCATGTGTTTGCCAAAGATAATTCTCCGCTGAAGATAACAACACCCAGCCCCAGAGAGGTCCCCAGGAACCTGGGGGAGTCTGGGCTCATGTGGAAATGGAGAGCTGGCTAAATAAATTAAGGCCCATAAATAAATTACGGTGGGTCTATGCACATATCCCTTGCACACACATGGAGCACGTATCTTTGAGATTTTGTAACTGGAGGAAAGGCAAAGGCCTAGCGCTGACTCGGAGAGGGAGGCTGACTCCTGCCTTGGCTTCTTTTCTCCCTGCAGAAGCCGCCCCCGTCAGAGCTGTGTCCCGCATCAAGGGGACGTGAGCCAGAGACTGACTTGCCCCTCGCATCTGTAGGAGCTCAGTGTTTAGGTCAGGAGTAAACGAGACGGTTCAGGTCAAGTGCTCAGCCGGTGCCTGTCCCAGGGCTTCTGCCACATGTCAGGGGAGGGGCCACATCTAGGGGGCCAGCTGTAGGGTGTCTTTCTGTGCGTGCACCCTACGACTCAGGGTCTTCTTACGTTTCTAGAAGGTCTTGCACAATCACCTTCTAGACTCATCTCTGGCCTGGACTGTTGCAAAAGCTTCTCAGCTCATCTCCGGTGTCCCAGACCCCTCCACTCTGCCCTAAGGCTGCAGCCAGCGGGAGGCTGTGCGAAAGGGGAATTGCTGAGCACAGGTCACAACTCACAGGCCTGATGCCAGGCAGCACGTGCCTCCCTTTTAGGGATCTCTCCAGACGCTGGACGGCCGGGGGCTGGACGGCCGGGGGCTGTTCGCGCAGGCACGTTCCTGCCAGGAATAACCCTCCCAGAGATCTGCACAGCTCCGGCCTCTTTTCCCCGGGGTCTTTGTCCAACGCCAACTTCTCTGAGAAGCCTGTCGGAGCACGGAGACCTGGTGGCAGCCCGGGCGTCCCTGAGGCTCCCTGGCCCCTCCTTGAGGTATGTTTTCCGGAATCCCTTCCCTCACACAGCCTGCACATACACCTGAGTGAGTGCCGGCCTCTTCCCTCGAGGCTACAGGGAGAGCAGGGCTGGTCACTCTTCACCACACCTGTGTCCCCAGCGTCGAGCACAGGGCCAGCTCCGTGGTAGGAACTCAGCAGCTACACGGCAGAGGAGCCCATCATCCAAGAGACCCAAGGAAGGCCGTGTCCATGAGCTGACTACGATGGCGGGGCCTCTGCCTTGCTCACTGTCCACCTGCTCCCTGGCAGGGCGCCTCGCAGGAGCCAATGACAAAAGGGGTCAGGAAGAAGGGAAGCCCCCGGCCTGGGACTGCGTCTTCCAGACGTCGTCCCAGAGAGGTGAAGGATGTCATCAGTCGTCGATTCATATGGGGAGGGGTGGGGAGAGGGTCCTGGGGACACAGCCCCCCACCCAGCAGGCATTGCATCAGAACGTGGGCCAGGGTCCTGGGCGAGTGGGGGGCTGGGGCTGGGGCTGAGAGGGGGTAACTGCAGTTTGAAAAATTTCCCACGATGACTCCATATGCTCTGGCGGTCCCTCTGAAGAACTCTGAAACACTAGGTCGTTTTCCATCCGGTCTCTTTTGTTGAGTGACTTGTTTGCTGTAAACGTGTCATAACTCACTGTCCACCTCCACAGTGGACACCTGGGTATTTCTAACTGTCTGCCCTAACAGCAGCAGCGACGTGCGTCCTTGCGATGGTGGGCACCGAGGGGAGCCCTTTGTCTGCCTTAGCTTCCCAGTGGCCGTGCACTTAGGACTGGGTCGGAGGGCTCCGTGCTCCCTGTTCCTGGGCAGGTGACAGCGATCTCCTGGTGCAAGAGTATGTCGGGGTGACCGATCTCACGGAGGGTCCTCAAAGCAGAACCAAATGACAGCTGCAGCTGTAGCTTCAGGGCACACAAGCAGCCTGGAGGGGCCGTTGGTGTCTCTTCTGTCTCCTCTGCTTGGGAGGATGGAGAACCTCACAGGGTCCCCGCTTCCCTGGGCTGTGTGACAGCCACCTTGGCGAGCCCCAGAACCCCGTGACACTCGGTGCCTGTGGTCGGTTTGCCTACTTCTGTGGTGTGGGCTTTTGCTTTATCATGAATTTAATGGGGAGTAACGACCACAGTTTAATTGGGATAATAACACAGACCACAATGATCTCATTATCTCATTGGGAGGATGGACTCCGCGAAAAGTGAAAATCTAGATAAGCGTTCCCAACATGCAAGCGATTAAGGGGAAAGTAACTCGGGGCGATTGTGGGAGCCTCTGAGATAGCACTCGAGGACGTGCTGAGCTCTGGAACAAGACGCAGGCCCCTCTGGAATCCCGGTGCAAGAGACGGTCAGACCTGAGGTGGACCAGACAGCGGCTGTGGAGAACTCGGGTAGACATATGGCTACAAAACAAGGGAGCTTGCGAGGTCCTCCAAGGACACAATGCCTTCTCCCCATGTCACGCTCCAGAAGCAGCACCCCTGTGCCCGCTGCTGCCTGAGCTTTGTCACCTGTGACTGGCACCAGCCCGTGTGCTGGGTAGGCGACAGGAGAGCAGAATCACAGGAGGGCAAACACCAGGGGTCTGGGAGCCAAGGGAGAGGTCCCCTGCAGGAAAGCAGTCCCAACCACTCGTCCTGTTTGTGTCCAAGGCGGGGCCAAGTGCAGGGGCCAGGGAGGGTGGGGGCTGGGCAACATGGACCCTCTGCCCTGCGTATACAGAGAGTTCCAAAAGTTGAGCGCAGTAACGTGATTCTTTACGAAACAGCGTATTCCTCTTGTGCTGGACGGTGCTCGCCCCGCAGTGTGGGAGTGAGAGTTGGCTGTTCTCTGGCTCCTGCTTCATGACCAGACGCTGCGGTCACTCTGGCTGGCTGCTGGCCTTCCCTCTCCTCCACCTCCAGGCAGCGAGCGTGCGCCCCACGCCCTCTCCGGGAAGCTCACGCGGCTCTGATGATTTGTTCCTGCAAAGGTCACCGCTGTGCCACCTCCTTCCTGGGTTTTAAATATGACTTCCGAGGGGCTGGGTGAGGGTTAGGGGTAAAGCCTGTGCCCAGAACACACGCACGAGGCCCTGGGTTCTGCCCAGCACCTCACTCACATACACACACACACACAGGAAAGAAAAGACAAAGCACAACAGGAGAAAAATCCCAACTGGACTTTGGAAGAAAAAGAAAAAAAAAAAAAAAACAGCAACTAGGGATTGTCAGCGCAGCATCCGCTGCAGGAGGAGCCACAACTCCCCTACCATCACCAGCAAATCATATTTAAAAAGATATTCTTTAAAAAGGAGGGGAGGATAGATTATTCTCACACTTGTTGATTTCATGGAAAAGGCTGAATAAACACAAAAAGGTATTTGTAAAAGTTCAGCGTGATTTTCCCAGGTCATTATAGTGAAATCATTTAGTAAAATAAATAAATAAGTCCGATAAGGAAAAAGCGCTTCCACCATTATGAAATGGAGTGCGTTTGTTCCACCCCCAAATTAACACCCTCTCAGGATAGAGGACCGTTCTCCAGGTTGATGCAGCTGAAGTAGGTTAGATTGATGAGAAAATGACCACCTTAGCTTACTTACTTACTTACTTATTTATTTTATCAGACTTGGCTTCAGACCAGGAAAACAAATTATCCTGAAGCCGTTTCACCCAATGTGGGCTGGGGGAGCGGCACCCGCAAAGGGGCTTTCAGCTCCACCATGACGTTCTGTTTCCCAAGCTGGGCAGAAGAACACGGGGGTGACTTCCTACCCCACTCTGTTTATCTTGGGTTGTTAATAATTAAGGCTAAAGCATTTGCAGGCTGACCGGCTGTGAGGAACCACGACTGGTTAAGTGCATCCATTTCACAACCCAGTCAAGGGCTGCGTCTGAGCAGAGCTCAGGGAGCCAGCCCAGGTCTCGCTTGCAAACAGAATTCAGACCTCTGAGCTCTGCAGACGGTTCCTTCCCTGAGCACTTGTCTGCACTTGACCTTCTGTTCCAATTAAGGCACGAAACTAAAAAATCCAGTGGTCTCCAGGTCTTCAGAAAACATCCCTCCAACATACAATGTGACAACAACTGTTTGCCGTATTTCAAGTGATAAGAATCCTAAAGGATATGGAAGAGAAAACAGGCTTATGCTGTCAGACACACCACTCATGTCTCTGAGGCTCGGTGTCGGAGAAGCTTTGGGAATGAAGGCAGGTGAGTCTCCCCCTCTCTTCAAAGGAAGAAGCCCTGCTGGCTCCTTCAGACCTACATCATGGACGCCCCTCTTGATGGTGTCTCGATAGGTCTCTCCTCTTTTTATTCACCATCTCTGACCACCAGAAGTGTTCAAAAGCAAAACACAGACGCAGAGAAGACAGGAACGGCTGGCCACGGCCACACGTACGTACCTGACGGCAAACTGCAAGGCGGCTGGGCCCGGCTTCTTGGGCAGATCATGGTCCAGAACTCGGTGGTCCAATTGCAGCCAGTTCTGCTGACCCCTGTGAGGGCAGAGTGAGGAGAAGGGTCACTGGAAGTTTCGGCAACATGGGGCGCTGGGAAGCTGACCGGGAGCTGTGGGCACTGAAGGCAGAGGGCAGCCCTGGCCCCCTGTGAAGGGCCGGTGCTTGAAAACCACGGACCCCTCTGCTCCGGCCCAGGGAGCTGATGAAGGTTAGCTTGTGCATTTGAAAAATGGACCATGTGTGAAGTCGCTCCCTGTAGCATTATTTCTCATAGCAAAAAGACCAGAAATAGGTCAAATATTATAGAGGGCATGGCTACAGTGGGTATCTAGAACCGTAGTGAAATACAACGCAGCACAAAGGAGCGGGGTGGGGTGCGGAGCCCGGTTACACACGCACTGAGAAGAAACTGCAAGATACGATACTAAACAACAAAGCAAGATGCAGGACCCTAAGTACAGTATATCGCTATTTTTAAAAATCAATAAGAAGAATTAACATATATGTGTGCACGCATTTATGAAAAATCTGCAAGAGAATAATAAACTGATCACACTGATTTTGGGGGAGTTAAACTGCCGGGCAGCATATTAATTTCTAGATTCCTATTGAATATGAAATTCGAAGTGTTTTAGTTAAGAAGGGCAGACTTCTGGTTTAATGAAATCAAACTCACAGCTAACAATACCATAGCTTTTGAAAATCTACAGGGCTGACTCTCCTCGGGGGCCGCTTCTGTGTACACACAGGGACTCAGTCATATTTAAACTGTGCTTATTTAATCAAGAGCCTCAGCAGGTTCATGGGTATAACAGTTCTCTCTACTGTGACCTCGCGGGGAGCCCAGGGCTGAGGATTGTTTATAGGCTGCCAAGGTTGCCTGTCTAGTCCTTGCATTTGGGGACCTTTCCAGTTGTTCCCATAAAACCCAATTTAAGAACACACTGATGGTGCAGAGGGGTGTCGAACTGCAACAAAATCTATAATGGGCCTTCTCGGGGGGCATTGCAACTAACTAAAATACAAACCAGAAACTTCTAAGCTGGGTTCATTTTAAGTAGGTAGGAAAATTACACTCAACAGCAGAATGTACTTTGACGCATCCCACACAGATGGAGTAGAACTTCTCATTCTTCTGGTTGTACGTGATGGAGAATCAAGCCTGTCGTGTAGTCATGTGCACATAGGGTAGTAAGGTCCCATTCATTCCACCATCCTTCTTCCCCTCCCCTCCCCTCCCCTCCCCTCCCTCCAGTCCTCCCTGTCTAATGCAAAGCACCTCTGTTTTTCCCTACCCCACCCCGATTGTGAATCAGCATCTGTGTGCGTATCAGACAGAACACTCGGACTTTGGTTCTGTGAGACGGGCTCCTTTTGCTTAGCATGACATTCTCCAGCTCCATCCATTTAACTGCAAATGCCATCATTTCAAAAGTGTGACTGTTTCCATGATCAACCCCCAAGGCTGCCGACAACTGTCCGAGCTTCCCTTGGAAGAACATTGCGTGGGTAAATAAGGTGAGAGGCAGAATGTAAGCCACAGCTTTTGTAAGGCAATAAAATAAAATAAAATAAAATAAAACAAAACAGAGGGCTGAGGCTCAGAGTTTCTGACACTGTCTTCTGTCATGTTTAGGATGTCGTGATTGGAAGACCCGCTCGAATTTCATAGCTGATCACGTGTCCTCCTAAAACACACAGAACACCATGTGGGGTCACATCTGAACGCTTTTCTCAGGGCAGATGCAGCAGGCTCTGGGTTGTCCTGGGTCCCCTCCCTGTGTGCAGCAGCTCACACGCTGCGCTGTTCTCACAAACCTGCATGAGTTACGTGCCAGGGGGAGGGACGTGGGTGGATAGTGCTGCCAACACACGGCCAGCCGGCCAGCCACGGAGGCACAGGTGGAAGGCCACGCGACGTCCAGAGGAAGCCGCAGCCCTGGAGACAGAGCCCACGGCTGGTGCTGTCGCCCTGCGGGAGGGCTGCGGTGGGGGGTCCGCAGGGCCTGGCCAGCACCAGGACATCGAGCATTTTTCCATGAAGAGTCACGTGTACGTAATGTAAAATAAAAAATTAAAAGTACACGTCAGAAATCAGGTTTTTAAGGTGAACTTGTAATCCTAACAACTGGAAAACATCTTGAAGATTGAACAGATGAAGAGCACCCCCAGTTTCATCCCCCCGGGGTTATCAGTAGGGTCACGTGCAGCTTCTAACCTGCCTTTTCAAGAGTTTCCATCAGCAAATAGAAGAGATGGAATCAACTTAAAAAGACAGGTGCGTGCAGTCCTCGTAGGTGGGCACCATAGCCCAACGCTTTCCTTCTGACCCGAATCCCTTCAGTCTCAGGCACGGCTGAGGGACAGTGACCAGAAGCCACGGTTGCGTCCATCTGCCATCTCTTCACCCAGCCTTTCCCAGGGTGAGGAAGGACTGCCCTGGGTGCGGAGGGCCAGGCTGCCCTCTAGTGGCGGAGTCCGCCCTGCATGGCCGGCTCTGGGGACTCGGCCTCCCTCTGGGGGCCTGTGTTTGCCTGTCTGGGCTCAGGGCCCTTCCACCACGCAGGGCAGTCGGCTTCTGAGCCAGAGCACTGGGTGGATACAGCAGCCAGTTCACTGACAAAATGCTCCTTCGGTTCTATTTAAAGACGTTCACCAAAGGCACCGCTGATGTGGCATCTGGGCTGGCAAATGAGCCCAGACAGTCCTGGGAGGGGCCCCACACAGCGGTTTATGGGGGCGACAGGGAGTGCAGAAAGAAAACGCTTTCCAAAAATATCTACCCAAGCTGCAGGGCCAGGCCTGTGACCGAGACGCTCCAGGAGACACCCTCAGACAGAAGCGGGTTTCTAGGTGTGTTCCCCCGGAAGGTGGAAGTGGCCAGCTCTTCCCTGCCCACCACGAAGCCCAGCTCTGAAAACAAGCAGCCCCAGAGCCGGCAGGGCCCTCCCCAGCGTGATTCACCAGCACAAGGTGCGGCAGCCGGACCCGGAGGACACGCTGGAGCCAGGGCCGCACAGGAAGGGGGCCCGCAGACCCCGCTTCCCCAGGAGTGGCTGCAGATAGGACGCGGGGACAGAGGAGGGCGAGGCCGGGGCCGACCGTGGGGCCTGCTTTTCTGTCTAGGAAGCTCTAACGTGTGAAGGCTGCGTGGTCTCTGTCCGGCTGGCTTTCAGCTGAGCTTCCGAGTGGCCGGGACCCTCTTCTCCAGCACACTGTGAGCCTGGGGCCCGGGGAACCCCGACACTGCCGTCACAGATCCCGTTCCCGCCCTGTGCGGCATCCTCAGCTCCCTGGGTGCAGCTGCGAACTGCTCCTCTCCCTGTGTGCACGCTGGGCAAGTGCACCCTGCTCGGGACCATGTCCCTGGGTTTGCCCGAGACGACTCTTGCCTGGGATGGTCCGGCCTCCCCCTCCATCTCATCAACCTGCCCCAGGTGCTGTGGCAGGGGTCTGCAATCCCAGCAACTCACGACTTGGGGGGGATCACAAGTTGGAGGCAGCCTGGGCAAGACCCTGTCTCAAAATTTAAAAATTTTAAAAAGTAGGGATACATCTCTACTGTACTACTTCTACATCTCATCTGCCTGGCAGCAGAGTGTCCCTAGGTCCCGTCCACAGCCTGGTGAATAAAAAGAAAGAAGGAAAAAAAAACCACAGTGCACCATCCAGCATGCCTCCCTAGAGAGGCCAGGATGTCCTGCAGCCTCTGCACAGAGTCCCTGCTGTGATGGCTGAGGGTAGGATGGTGGCCCTTCATAGCCTGAGCCTCGGGCTGTACACAGCCTCCTTGATCTGCTACTAGGATCCCATGCCGGCAGCCCATCACGGGGGCCTCCTGTGGCGCTCCCCATATAGAGAGGATGATGAGGTCCCTGGTACAGATGAGAGACCTTGGCCCCAAAGCCAAACAGCTGCCCTCACACGCCTCATCTCATTGAGATCTCTGCTCTTGCCATACTACCTTTTTTCTTTCTCAAAAAGCTAACCAGAAAAATAAGTAAATAAACCACAAAATGAGCTCCCCCAGGACCTATGCACTGGCTGTTTTGGCAATGCCTTTGCAGAGCTGGTTCTGACTTTCCATCCCCCGTCCCCTCCTAGAAGCCATCCAGGTCCCCCGCCCCCCGTCTCTCCTGCCACCACCTCTCACACTATGTTCCCTGGGCGGTTGAAGTTGCTGGAGCTTCCTCATCATCGACCTGGGCGCTGGTCCTGCCAGACAGCACCACGGCAACAGGAACTCCCCAGGGCAGGGCCTTGTCTGTGTGGCTTGCAGCTGACCCCTTGGGATCCAGAAGGGGTCAGCTGGGGGCTGGTGGGCACTCAAAGCCAATAAAGCCCTCCAGAACTGGCGCTTCGGCCTCACCTCTCTGTGACCCCCACCTAAATGACAGTGCGTGGGCAAGTAGAGCCTGGGCCACGTAACTCCGTCATTATGCGTTGTGGCTTGGTCTGAGGCTGCCGGCTGCTCTGTCACATCCAGATGCAACCCATGAGCCTGCGTCCATCTGTCACCACTGCTTCCCGTGAGCGGCTCTTGGTTTCCAGTGGGTGCGAGGCCCAGGGACCTCTGCACTTCCTACTTTGCCCAGCAGAGGGAGCAGACAGGCTGAACAGGTTCTTCAGGGCTCCGGGAGGTGGGGAGGCCCAGCAGCTCTCCCTAGGCTTTGCTGAACCCCGAGTCTAGACCATGTTTTCAGAATTTTCTTCATCTCCTAGGTGGCCGGATCTTGAGGCTCTGTCCGGTGGTGGCCGAAGGCCATTGGCATTTGTGGGAGGTCCCAGGCCACCAGCCCACCCTGCAGGAAGTCACTGGAGGCCTCAAGGTGTTCAAAGCAGCTCCTTGAGAACGTTCCCCGATGACTCCACTGAAGCAGTGATGGGGACAAACTAGGCTGTCACAGCACACGCGCACGCGCGCACACACACACACACACACAGAGGGAACTGGTAATCCCCAGTTCATTAGCTTACACAGTTTGGGATTCCCATCAGTGTACTCTACCTGCAGTGCCTGCCTCATTTCAGAGAGGATTTAAATTGTCCCCCCCCATACACACACACCGTAACGTGATAACTTAGTATAAAAAAATGGGAAGTAAAGGGAAAAAGAAAATCGAAAGTGAAAAGGGAACATAAAATGGACCTAGGCTGCAGTTAAAGTCTGTTCCACATTGAACCACATCTGCCTGCCTGTCTGTCTATCTGGTACCGGGGATTGAGCCCAGGGGTACTTGGGTTCAATTGAGCCCACTAAGCTACACCCCTAGCCCCTTTAATTTCCTTTTGAGACAGCGTCTCGTGTCTTGTGAGTTTCGGAGGCTGGTTGTGAACCTGCGGTCCTCCTGCCTCAGCCTCCCCAGCAGTGGGATCACAGGCATGCACCACCTCACCCAGCCTATATACATAGTTTTGAGGTGACTGTAAATTCGCCTTTTAACTTCCTTGCCACCAATACCAGAAAATTAATTCACTTCCATGATACAAGGGAAGAACAACCTAGTGCCTCTCTCCCTCAGTGAGCAAGCACATCTGTACTCAGAGACAGGAAGAGGCAGACGGCAATTAAAATCCACCAACACTTGACTACGAATTCCCAAATCCCTCAGAAGGATGCTTTGAAGGCTTGAAATGGCCACAATTCCTTGTCTAGGAAGAAATCCTGCACGAGGAGTCCTTCACCCAAGCAGGACATGTTCAAAGGCTTGGGTTCTCTCCCCTGCCCTTCATCCTGACTGACCGCGAGCAGGCAGCCCCGGCAAAGGTCAGAAACGAAACCCGGAGAGGCTTACGTGTCGTCTGTGAACGTTATTCCAAAGTACTCCTTCTCCTTCAGGTTGAAGTGTGAAGCCACCAGGTCCAGCAGCTCTCTGGACAGAAGTTTGGGCTGTCGAGATAAAAACCGGATCAGAAGCTGTTTGGTTAGTTTCTCCCTCTCGTAGCCTCTACCCTCTTCAGCCCTGGATAGTCCTGAGCAGCTTCAGCCTCTGGGTTCTTAAATATCTGCTTGCATTTGGTAATGGGCTGAATCTACTGTAAGCCACCCTCTAAGAGTTGTGGGAAGGAGAGAGGTGGGAGTAGGGACATCCCTGAGAGAGTGTCACTGCTGTGTGTCTGCAGTTCAATGGATGACCTATTTTACTTTCCCCCTCGAAGGTGACAGTGTGGTTACCAACGCGTCAGTGTTGGGTTTTATATACAGCATGACGCTGGTGATCAAGATGGCGAATACCAAAGGCCTCACTGCCCAGGTATCTGCAATACTATAAAAGATGTGAGATCAATTTTGCCTAGTGCTGTTAAAAAGCCTCAAGGCCTAAGGAACGGGGGCTACAGAACTAACAAATAATAACAACAATGCCAGTTGCCACTCATTATGCTGAACTCACATCACTTGTAAGATTTGCGTTGTCTTTTCTATCAAACCTAAACCACGTTTACTGGAACTTGAGTTCCACATCTATAATGGAGCCATCTTAAGTCAGGGAACCATGAGGCCAGAATGGAGCCATCTTAAGTCAGGGAACCATGAGGCCAGAATGGAGCCATTTTTAAATTCCCTAACAGGTATCCAATCACAACTGTCGCTCTTTCCTGTGCCCACCCCAATTTTACATTAGCTAATCAAGTAGACTGTGTCTCCTGAACTCCACCCATGAGGCGCCAGGGGCAGTGCTTTGTTAGGGATAACTGCTGATGGACTGCCTTCCCAGGTGTGCTTGCTGGCTGGATCCCCTTTGGGGGCGCCCCCTTCTGCAGAAGTACATTCTGCCCTGGCTGGCCCACTTCCGAGCATGCCTTTGATTTCTTGCGGCACCACTGAGGTGAGCCAGCTGAGGCAGAGCGTCACTCTCTTGGGAAGGACGGGGATTTGATCCAGTTCTGCCTGCTCCTGAAGCCTGCGCTGCCCATTTCTGAGGATGGAGCGACCGCTCCCATCCTACACAGTATCATCACCAGAGTGGACAGAGCCCCCGTCGGAAGCCGGATCTGACCCATGGGCTTGGGGGGAAGCTCCAGCTCTGCTGCAGGGCAGCGCGGGGTGGACTCCACCCGTGTCCACATCATCACTGGTGCTGGACACACAGGGCCTGGGACAGGAAAGGGGCAGGACAGGGTGGCACTTGACAGATTCTGGGTGGAGCCACTTGGAGACACTAGCGTGGTGTGGAGGTTGGACGATTGCTATTGGAGAAGGAAAGGGGACAGGGCCTCAGGGGACTAGAAAGTCAGGCATGGGCTGTGACAGCATGACCACAGCACTGTCACTGACGGAGTGCTGATGTCCTCGAGCTTGGTTTGGCTGTGAGTCCATGAGCCAGCCCGGGCCATCGTCACCCTGGTTCCCAGCTGCGTGTGGAAGGTGTGCCAAGCCAAGCAGCAGGACATGGCCTCACCGCGTGACAGCCCCTCCGGGGAGTGCGGTGGCTCCCACTCACCAGCCAGAGGTTGAGAGAGGTCGAGACACTGGCTCGGGGCGCACAGCCACCGAGTGCCAGAGACCCCGTTGGAGCCCAGGAGTCTCCAAGCCTCTGTCCCTGGTGGCCATGGCTTTACAGGCCGCGTCCCCCCTGTCAGTCCACAGTCCCTGGCTCGGCCGCACACAGAAGCCAGCCACCTGGACGCAGACCACAGGGCAGAGCCGGGCCGGGCGGCCGGGTGGGCAGGCGCCTACCTGAACCAGCAGCTCCAGCCTTCTGTCATCCAGGAGGTGCACCTGGCAGTGCCTGCCCTCTGTCATCTGTGGGGACAAGACGGCAGCGTGGCGTTAGGTGGGCTGGCCAGCAAACCCTCAGACTGGCTGCTCACTTCCTGCTTGGGAGATGTGCTCAGCCTGAGAGGGGCTGCGTTCTGTCCCTCAGTGGGCTGGGCCAGAAAAAGATCTATCACCAGCCTGACCAAAAGCAAAGACTGCTCAAGATGTCAAAATAAATGGCCTTAGGGAGCCCAAACAATGTCCACAAGGTCACACTGCGGAAGGCACAGCTCCTCCCCAGGTGAAGGTGCCGGACTCCCTGAATCCATGGTTTGTTTCTCAGATAGAGCATGCTTCCGATTTGAAGGCATTTCCCGTAAACGCAGCATGTGCAATAAGTAGGAGAAACACGTGATACTCAGGATGAAATGGAAACTCTCCATTTTTAAAATCATGCCCCTCTGGCTGGGCAGGGTGTCATCCACCTGTCATTTCAGCGACTCAGGAGGCCGAGGCAGGAGGATCAAAATTTCAAAGCCAGCCTCAGCAATTTAGCAAGACCCTATTTCAAAGTAAAAAAAAAAAAAAAAAGATGGGGATGTGGCTCAGTGATTAAGCACCTTGGGTTCAATCCCTGGTACCAAAAATATCACCACTTATAGCTAAGATACATAGTTAAAAGCAGTTTGACATATAAATTTCCAATGATATGTAATTTTTCATCTCCTAAAATTTCAGTGCTGGGAGATAGTGTTCAGAAAATGTTTCAATAACACATAGAATGAAAGCCACGTCCTTGACTAACTCTTGCTCTGAACCGACGTGTCTTTGGGAATCACACCCCGTGGGTGTGAGGAGCCTCCTCACAGACTGCTTTTGTGTATATTTTCAGATACGTACAGATACAGATTTTAAGAGTGTTCATATAAAGGCTGTGCTTTAGCATCATTATACTGCACACACTCTTCTGCAAATGAAGTCCTCCATACCTTCCCGATGAGTGTGGCCATCCAGAAAGCAACACATACAAACTGCTAGAAATACCCAGGTGCCCCTAAGCAATCAACCACAGGCTCGACAGTGGGTGGCAAGCAAATCTTTACTCTGTGCTGGGCCTGGCTAGCAAGCTCCTGGGCAGGCAGACCACCTGTTTATACACGCAACCGCAGCGCTGCCCTCGGCCCCAAGTGGAGGACTCAGGGGTACCATCTATGCGATGGACTAATTTTAAAATCGGGGTGGGAAAAAGGGAAGGAACCCAGTAAGGCCAAATACGATATCCTGGAAATGGCCACCAGACTTTCTGTCTCCCACAATATGCATTGTGTGTGTCTGTGTCGTGCGTGCACATATAACAGGTCCATGTATACATCTGTACACGCACATTAAGAAAATCTCCCTTTTCAGTTCAGGCGGGGGCTCTGCTACTTGCATTCTCAATCGGCATTTCTTGGCCTCTCCCCTGTGCACAGGGGAACTTGGCTCTTTTTGAGGTCCTGCCTTCCAGACCCTCACGTGCACACTCAGCAATGCAGGGGGTCTCCTCCCAAGAAGCCCCGGGCTGCTCCTGTGTCTGGCTGGCTGACGGGAGCAAGGTCAGGATGAGCTGTGCAGGTGTAGCTCTGCCCACGGCTGGGGCGTTGCTGGGTCACCTCTGAGCCAGGAAACACCTGTCCCTGCCACACTCCCCGGCTGCCTCTCTGAAGCTACTGGCTTCTGCTTCCCCCAGCAGGAGTGTGCTCCTCAGACCCGTGGCTTCCGCTCTCTAAGGATGGACGGCAGATGACCTCCTCATGGTACTCGTCACCGTAAGCTGAACCCAGACCCCAGGTCGGGCCACACCAGGAGAGCAGAGAGCCACAGAGCTGAGCCTGCCACACCGGGCCCTCTCCTCTGCAGGAGGCTGGTGGCCCCGGGAGGCTGGGGCCGAGCTGAGCCTCACTGGCTTGTTAAGGGGGATGTGGGAAAGTAGCCGCACACATTTTGCTCTTCAAAACCAAGCTTGTGAGTAAATCTTAGTCAATGCTGTTGGAAACCAGGCGATGCCCCTGATAAAAGTTCAGTGGAGACCTGCTTTCCTCACATGGTAGGATCTAGAAACAGGGGCCTGATTTGGCCAGGCACAGCAGCTCCCCCCTGGGTGGGTTTGTGGTCTCTGGTCACCAGGTGTGTCACCTGCCAGGATCCATGGAGTCCTGCATCTGAGCCAGCAAGTTCACGTGGCCCCAGGGAAGAGAGACAGGGTGACAACAGGGGCCTTGAGGGACAGCCACGTGCCTGCCACCTAACACGCGTTCTGAATAGATGCCCAGCCTCTGCAGAAGCTCCCGGGGGGGGGGGGGCGCCTGGTCCTCGAAGGCACCAGGAAGCCCGGGCCCTGGGGGCTGTAACTTGCCCAGGAGTCCCCAGCCACACAGACTGGTCAGCGTCCGTCACGAGGGCTGTTACTAGGAGAAGTGCCTCAGCCTTCCTTTGCCTTATAAGAAATGTCCTCGCAGCCTTCAGTCCAGTACCGTAGGAGTGAATGGAACCCCATCTGAGGTCCGTAATACCACAGCCCCTATTTGTTTGGAAACTGACAAACAGGTATACTTTTTTTGTAATCTATAAATGTTACTTTTTTATAAAAAGCTTTTTAATGGGAAGAACATTACTGACCCATGATGAAGAGGACAAGTGGCAGGTCCACTTCAGCCAGTTAACCAGCACGTGGCAGAAAAACCTCCCAGAGCTGAAGTGGCAGGAGTCAAGACAGAAGGGACTGCTGGGACCCGCAGGCCTGCCCTGGGTCTATAAGGTCCCCCGAGCCCTGTGCCAGGCGCTTTACTGGACTGACCATCTTCCTGGAGGTGATTCTGTTACCAGGCCTGCGTTCCAGGTGACTCTGAAGGTGGAGTCCAAACAGCAAGTGCCTCCATGGAGAGCAGAGGCCAGGCTGTAGGCACACAGCACCACTCGGGGCACTACCTCGGCCACCCGGCAGCTGACCCAGGGCCCGCTGCCCAGGGGCTACCCAAGTGGCTGGGGAGGGATGACCGTCTCGCAGGCAGCCTGAAGCTCACGCTGCTTCCAGAGAAAACTAACTGCGGGAGAAGTAGACTCGTGTCATTGTCAGAGAGCATCGGTTAGGAGCCGCACCCTTCAGATACAGGGAAGTGGAGGGACACCACGGGACTCCTAAGAACGTAAGAGCTGGACTGAGACTCAGAACTCTGTCCCCAGGCCACTCTGCCAGTGATGTCCACCATCTCATCCAAATAAAGTTTTTTTCCCAACAGGTCAGTTTTGTTTTTTTTTTTAACAGTTAAAAAAAAATGGAAACAAACAAAAAAGACAAAAAACAAACAAACAAACAAAAACACCAACTAGGCATTTCTTACTGATTTTAAAACGTGACCCTTGCCGAGTCCCCATCTTCTAATTTCAACAACAGAGACCCGTACGTGAAGCACCGAGGTCCTACCTCTGAGTACAGAATCACTCTTCTCTTCTTGTGGTGCTGGGAATTGAACCCAGGACCTTGAACATCCTGGGCGAGCACCAAGTCCACTGCCACCCCTTTTTATTTTTCATTTTGAGACAGGGTCTCGCCCAGTTGCTGAGGCTGGCCTTGAACGTGTGATCCTTCTTCCTCAGCCTCCCGAGTCACTGGGATTTTGGGGTGTGACACCGCGCCTGGCTACAGAATCACTTGTGAACCCCACAGGGACCAGGGGGGGCATTTCAGCACTGACCGCTACGTCAGACCAGCCTTGATATCGCACTCCCCCCGCCTCCCCGCCCCAGGAGAGCCCCTCACCCACGCTCCACACTGCTTCCCCACCTCCACCCACCCAGCGCCGGGACCTCGGAGGTATCGACTCCGCACGCTGGGCTGGAGCTCCCACCTGGGTCCGTGGTGCCCTGCTTGCTCCCCGGCTGGTAGGATGGGTCCTCGGAGGGCAAGTGCTGTCGGGCAGTGGAGAGACGGTCCAGCTGGCCACAGTCACGTGCAGGGGGAAGTGAGAGTGTGCCCCAGGCCTGACCTCTGGTTGACAGAGTGGCCGGGCCGGGGAGCAGCTGGCCCAGTGGGCCCTGGGCGCCACCCCTAGGAGGCCAGGGAGCAGAGTGGGTGGTGGGATGCCAAAGGGGAATTCAAGGCAGGGTGGAGGACAGGGCAGTGCAGAGCCACTGACGGCCACCAGTCAGCTGAGAAGCCACAGGAAATGACAACTGCCGAAAAAGACCCAAGTCCCTGGCTGGAAACGCAAAAGGCTGTTGAAGCAGCAGCTAGCTCCCCGCGAGGGCTCCTTTGGCCTTTTCCGAAGGCTCAGCAGAGGGGGCTGCCTCCTAACACGGACTGTTCCCGTCCATGTCCATGGGGAGCGGTCACTCCCTCCAGGGCCTCCCTGTCCTCATCTGTGGGGAGCGGCCACTCCCCACCAGGGCACACGGCTTGTCTCCTAACAGCTGGTGTTCCTGACCGGCTCCCTGCTGAAGGACGGGGACCTTCCTGTCCTGTTCCCCGTGGCATCCTGGGCTTCGTGAAAGGGACAGAGTCTGCAGGTACCTTCCACGGGAAGGAACGCCTTCACTGCTCAGCACTGAGGCACTTCCACCCTGAAACACACTCCCAGATGATTTAAGCTGGCCAAGCATGGTCCAGGGGGCCGCTGTCCCAGACGACTCCCCTGCCTTGGCCCAGAAAAGGGGACACGTTACAACAAGCCCTCTGCCCGAGGACAAGGTGAGCCACTAAGTCCTCATCAGACCAGATGTCCTGCAGGACCTGGAGACGGAGAGCGCTGTACCCAGGACGCTGTCACTCTGGGGCCTATTGAGTGGACAGTGCTATGTTTCTCCCGGGTGACGTCAGCCCCGGCTGCACAGACCCCCTTTTGTGCCAGCTCTGGGTGGTGACACCGTTCCGAGGATGGCCTGGGCTGACACCCGGGTCTCCAACAGTCAGCTGTGACTCCCCGTCCAGCTCCGTGCAGGCTGCTGCCCCCAGCGGGCCACCGGCACGTGCTTCACGTCACGTGGGAGCTGTGTCCTTCACACATGCC